GCCTCCAACTAGACTCAGCGCCGCTGATGACAACCCTCTGAGTTCTGCCATTCAGCCAGTTCTCAATCCACTTCACCGACCACTCATCCAGCCCACACTTCCTGAGCTTCCCTAGGAGGATGTTATGGGACACTGTGTGAAAAGCCTTGCTGAAGTCAAGGTAGACAACATCCACGGCTCTCCCCTCATCTACCCAGCCAGTCATGCCATCATAGAAAGCTATCAGATTGGTCAGGCATGATTTCCCCTTGGTCAATACATGTTGACTACTCCTGATAACCTTCTTTTCCTCCACTTGCTTAAAGATGACCTCTCTCCATTGACTGTCAAGACAGGCTGGAGGCCCAAGTTTGAATTAGATGGCTTCTAGACAGAAAAAGACAAAATGAATCCCTTATTCACCTCATATAAAAGACCAGAAATATTTATATAATATGCAGAGCTGTAGCTGGTATAATATGATGTAAGTGGAGAAAGTCAAGAAATATTTTGCAAAGTATATTTTTATTATGGATAGTTTAGGTGTTTATTAGAAAGTAGGAACATGTGTAGATGTGCATTAAAAAATGCTGAGCACATAGGAAATTGTTTCTACTATTAACCTCTTCAAGAAAATGCAAAGATCCAAACAAAACTCTATATTTTTTGTTTTATTTGAAGACTTTCCTTACTCATACTACCACTTCTTTCAAGAGAGTTCAGCTATTCCACTTCCTCATTTTGATTCATACATAGTTTTAAATTCTTAGTTATGACTTTTGATGAGTTGATCATAACAAGACACAGATTGTTGTGGAGTTGCATATGAATTTACATTCATTTATTTGCATTTTTTTCTCAAACTCTTTTATAAATATTACACAGAATCACAGAACCATTAAAGTTTCAGGGGCAGCTTGCGACTGCCTAGTCCACCACCCTGGCTCAAGCAGGCTCAGCTACGGTGGTTTGCCCAAAGCCATGTTCAGTTACATTCATTTATGGACTGCCTATCGGCTTCAAAAAAGAAATTATATGAAAGGATGCAGCCATTCTGAAAATGAAAGCTGTGGGTACTCCTAGAAAGAAGGAAAAAGGGAAAGAAAAAGGAAAGAGAATTTTTCTCACTGAGTTGGGAAAGACTTTATTTAAAGTATTTTGCAGTTAGTATTTACCAGATATCCACAGATTATCACTAGGTTTTCATTTGTCTCTAAAGATAGAAACTCCACAGCCTGTCTGGACAGCTTGGCCCAGTGTTTGACAACTCACACACACACACACAAAAAAAGTTTTTTCTTGTGTTTACATGGAATTTCATGTGTTTCCATTTGTGCCCTTTTGCCTCATGTCCTCTCACTGGTCAGAAGGGCCTGGCTCCCTCTGCATCACTACCTCCCTTCAGGTACTTATAGACATGGACAAGATCCCCCTGAGCCTCCTCTTCTCCAGGCTGAACAGTCCCAGCTCTCTCAGCCTCTCCTCATAAGAGAGATGGTCCAGTCTCTTAATCATCTTCATAGCCCTTTGCTGGACTCGTTCCATGTCTTTGTTGTGCTGGTGAGCTTGGAACGGGACCACGGTCAGAAACACGGAAGGAGGTTAGTGCATTTCCTACAAGAAAATACAGAGCTCAACAATAGCATAAGAAGGTTCAGTACAGATCAGATTTAGCAATATTATATGTCATTCTTTTCTGTGAAGGTATGGTGTCCTGTTTTCGGCTGTGTTAAACCACAACATATAGAAATCCAAGAAGAAAGCTACTTTTGCACCACAAGGCTATTTTTGCAGTGCAAAAATAGAGTTTTCTACTAAAAAGGGTGTCCCTTCCTCTCTGATAGTCTAATTCCATATCTTACATTTGTACAAGTAAACATGCTTCTTTTATAATCAGTCGCTTTTTATTACTTAAGTGAAGAAAATGAGCACAAAATATTTATGTTGAAAAATGTTTATATACACAAATATGCTGGGACAGAAATATGCTGTATTATGACTTTCAGAGTGATTTGATTTTTGGGATAGCTAATCATCCACCAAGTCTACTGATTAATATTCTGTGTTATTCTTCAGGCTATTAATTTCTGGTACATCCTGGTGATGAATGATGAACACACAGAGCGGCGCTATCTGCTTTACTTCCTTTTGAGTTGGGGGCTTCCAGCTTTTGTGGTCATCCTGCTTTTAATTATCCTGAGAGGAATCTATCATCACAGCACAGCACAGATTTATGGCCTGGTCTACAGTGATTTGTAAGTTTTCCTTTAAAAATCATGAACTAACTGTTGTACTTTCGATATTGTTCTGTATTTAATTTGCTTGTGTGTAGCGAAATGCAGTAAGGGTCAGGGGAAATTCTCGTTTGGTGGAGATGCAGCAAGCATGTCCCCCATGGACCATGCAGCACTTTCTGTGCAATTGGGCTTTGCTTCAGTTTCTCCAGAGTTCCATCCTGGGCTGAGCATTGGCAGAGCCAGCTCAGTCATGTCTGTGTTGTGGATAAATTATTTATTCTTTTCTGAGACTGTGCAATTCCAGGGTAAAGGATAGAAATGGCTACTGCTGCAGAAGTGAGCAGAAGAGCGTGTTTTTCTTCCAATTCATTTCTGTATTTAAAAACAAATCGTCACCAAACCAAACCTTAAACCACCATGTCTTAGATTATTAAATATATTCTCTGCTAAACAAGGTTACTGCTTTGGCATGTCAAATATATTTTCTGAAGTGTTTCTCTTGGACTACTGAAATGTTATATTCCAAACTATTCCCAATTTGAGCAATGCTGTAATGCCAATAATTAGCGCAGCCCTTTCAGAGCTGTATATCACCTCAGATAACTGTCCTAATTGAAAGAATACATCTTCATAGAACTTGAGACACTTGAGTGGAAAGACACATAAATATTTTTGTTCTCCTTCCCTGCCTTTTTTAATCTGTCCCCTTTTCTGGCAAAGCTAATCTATGATAATGGCTATTCTAGGATAGGAGAATATTATGCTTATTCAATTTGTGTCAGAATTACATGCTTCCTGCATGGGAAAGAATGAGCTCACAGCTTCTTTTTCGAATAATACAAGAATATACAATTTCTTTTGAGGAAAACTTCTTACGATGGAGCTTGCAGAACAGATTCCAAGCAGGAGAATATCTATCTGTCTTTAATAAAAGAGGAAGATACAGTGTACATCATTCCGTTATAACGGAACAAAATTCAGTTTGTGTTTTTCTGTCATACAAAGGGAATTACTGTGAAAAGTAGACACTGGAGTTCAATACCTGTGTATTTGAGTATATGCATATACATATTTATGTGCACTTATAAATATTATTTATATATGCATATCTATAGAATCATGGAATCATAGGTTGGAAAAGACCTCTAAGATCATCAAGTCCAACCATCCACCCAACACCATCATTCCCACTAAACCATATCCCAAAGCGCTGCATCTACACGTTTTTTGAACACCTCCAGGCACGGTGAATCAACCACTTCCCTGGACAGCCTGTTCCAATGCCTGACCACTCCTTCAGTGACGAATTTTTTCCTAATATCTAAATTACACCTCCCCTGATGCAGCTTGAGGCCATTGCCTCTCATCCTATCACTACTTACTTGGGAGAAGAGACCAACACCCACCTCACTACACCCTTCTTTCAGGTAGTTGTAGAGAGCAATAAGGTCCCCCCTCAGCCTCCTCTTCTCCAGATTGAAAAACCCCAGCTCTCTCAGCCGCTCCCCATCAGACTTGTTCTCCAGAGCCCTCTCCAGCCTCGTTGTCCTTCTCTGGACACACTCCAGCACCTCGATGTCCTTCTTGTAGTGAGGGGCCCACAGATGAACACAGTACTCCAGGTGTGGCCTCACCAGTGCCCAGTACAGGGGCACGATCACCTCCCTGCTCCTGCTGGCCACACCATTCCTGATCCAAGCCAGGATACCTGGACACACTGCTGGCTCCTGTTCAGCCAGCTGTCGACCCACACCCCAAGGTCCTTTTCCACCAGGCAGCTTTCCAGCCACTCTTCCCTAAGCCTGTAGTGTTCCATGGGGTTGGTGTGACCCAAGTGCAGGACCCGGCACTTGGTCCTGTTGTGGAACGTCATACAGTTGGCCTCAGCCCATCGATACAGCCTGTCCAGATCCCTCTGCAGAGCCTTCCTACCATCAAGCAGATCGACACTCCCACCCAGCTTGGTGTCATCTGCAAACTTACTGAGGGAGCACTCAGTCACCTCATCCAGATAATTGGTAAAGATGTGAAACAAGACTGGCCCCAAAACTGAGCCCTGGGGAACACCACTCGTGACCGACCGCCAGCTTTATTTAACTCCATTCACCACCACTCTCTGGGCTCAGCCATTCAGCCAGTTCTTTATCCAGAGAAGAGTACACCCATCCAAACCATGGGCAGCCAGTTTCTGCAGGAGGATGCTGTGGGAACAGTGTCAAAGGCCTTACTAAAGTCCAGGTAGATGACATCCACAGCCTTTCCCTCATCACCTAGGCGTGTCACCTGGTCATAGAAGGAGATCAGGTTGGTCGAAGCCTTGCTGGCTGGGCCTGATCCCCTTGTTGTGCTTCACATGCCCGGTGAGCACACTCAGGATGAATCACTCCATAATCTTGCCTGGCACCGAGTGTATATGTTTACAGTGCATGATCAGCAAGGATACCTGATTTAGACCTAAATGAGCTACACTGGGTACTACCAGGTGTCTAGCCATGTTAGCCAAGGTTTAGTCCCACACTAATAGACACCAGGTCTCAACTCAGAAGAGTACCTGAGGCCCACAATAGCAGACCATTTCTGATATTCACGCTATGTGTGGGAGTGCTGCATAGCTAGATGCCATACCATACACATAGATATTTCTTTCCAGAACATGGCAAACCAAGAGTATTGTATTTTTTTCATAGTAAAATGCTTTTTTGTGCATAGTAAACACAATAAATGTGTTGTCTTATGACTGCAGTCGGACAGCGGGCTGATGGTGCCATCATGGAGTGAACCACGGTTTTACAGTTGTTTTCTTTTGATCGCCATGTCTCATTCTTTCAAAAATGAGGAAAAATGCCTAAGTTCTGATAAAATTATTAAGTAGGGGAAAGCTACTCAGTGCAAGTCATTAATATAAAACTTTTCCAGCATCTCGTTAAAGTGGGGAAATGCCAGAAATCATCCCAAGCTTAGTAAGAGTGCCGCTTATTCCAGCTCAGTCAATGTGAACGCTGTAAGAAGATACTTGCGAGGATTTTCATAAATCGCATCGATGATAGTTCTTAATGTGAAGAGCACTTTAAAAGTTGCTCTTAATTATACAAAGAGGACTTTCAAAGCTGGGATGTAGGAAAGAGGACAGATTGAACTACATCTCTTGGTTTGTTTTCTCCAAACCAGGATGTAGTAGTGGAAAAAGTAACAAAGGGATTTCCAAAGTCAGGGCCATTACATACTAACCTCAGCACCAGCCTCAGAATTACTTTGGGAGAAGTGGCGTGCTGCTAAGGAGCTCATTTCATGTAAGAGCTGGAAGACTGGTTAAAGTAGTGGAAGCAGTGAAGCCTGTTATCTCAGCTATCCCTAAGTGAGCACTCCTCCAGGCAACTCATTTTTGCATTACTGTGGTGTCTGACCAACTGTTTTGTTCCTAACCAGAATGCCATGGGCACAATTAGCCAACAGGATGGTTGTGCTGAAAGAACTTATTTTTAAGGTGGTATTGAACATAAAAAGACTTGAGCTGTGTTGGATTTTGTGCTTTGAAAGAAGTATTGTGACAGGATCTTCCTTCAGATATGTCAAATTACACACACAAATCCATATCTTTTGAACAATAACTCCCATAACATGTCACAGTATAAAACTTTCAGGCTGGGATGGCAGTAGTAAGCATATTGGTGATTCTTGATTCTTTTCATAATTACTTATGTATGGCACGAACAGTGCACTCTTTGGCATTATGTGAATTTTGTTATGGTACTGGTAAATTTGTTTGTACCATAATGTCTGTAGCATTATGATATGATTTTTTTGGAACAGTAGCTGAGTGATGCATGAAAGAGCTAACTGCCAAGAAAGGGTTCTTTTATTCCTCCCTGTGCTAATTCCTCCATTGCTTGGCTGTTTGAGTAAGACTGCAGAAGTTGCCAGTGAAAGGCATATCAGCATAACTTGAATGAAACAAGTAGAGAGATGGGCATTTGCCTAGGATAGGTTTGAATGAAGGAAGAGCAGTCTATCTGGATATCTGTAAAGAAAAATGTGTAGGTTCTATGAATATCTGATACAATACCTTTACTAAGGAAAGTAGTAACATTTGATCCTCTCTTAAAAAATATGCATTAGTTCTCACGTCTCTTTTAAAAAAGAATAACAAGTTATTTCAGATGCAGGTGCCTATAACTGCACCTCTGTTTGATTTCTGTGTGTAATAACCATTGGCTCAGTCATGTCCTGAAACTTCAAAGTAGGGGCATTCTCTGTGTGCAGCTGGCTTGTACGAGCGGCTTGGATAGGTCTTTGCCATCTAGCCCGTTTTTTTTACTTTTTGTCCTATGGTGAAAGTCTTACATGAAGGTTTGTCAGTGTTTGTAAATGAAATCTCTAACGTGCCTGTAAATTTCTAGTATACTGTCTACCCTGGTCTCTAGTATCTGTTCTCTAAAATGTACGTCCTTGCTTAAGAACTGCCATGATGGCTGAGGCGTTAGTGCATTTTAGTGACAGGAGGCAGGTTTCAGCTCCTTTCAAGTGGCTAATAACTGAAATTTGAATTAAGCTCTGAACTAGATGATTTAAAATCACTGCAAAAAAAGTATGTTATACTTTTATATTTCTGAGTTTTTATGTTGTACAGACATTTTTCCATCCCCTGTTCGAATTTGGTGCAATCTCTGTCTGAAATATCTCTGTCTAAAATATCTTCCAAGGACATAAATTCTATCATTTAGGTACACACTGTTTTAAAAAAGTATTTCCTTTTGTCATTTCGTATTACATTGAATGTCACCATGACTTTGTGCTGTGACGTAAGTAGAGACCTCAGGATGACCTTTCTCTTCCATTTGTTTTGGTTTTTTCCTTATCTCCCATCTGATTGTCTCTTTCAGGCTTATAAACCAAACCCATAATCTGTGTTTCTTCACAGGAATTGTTAATGTCCTTGCACACTTTAATGCCCTTCTTCTCCTTTTGAGAAGAATTTTTGTTGTTGAATAAGAGAAACTTATGAACAGATGAGTTCACAA